TGGTGCGGCTCCGCGGCAGAGCCGCAGGGCGGCAGGAAATGCGATAGATTATTCCTTTTATTAATCTTGAGCTTTATATATAACTGGCGAAATTCTGCTTTCTAGATCACTAAAGTTAAATACAACAAGGTGACTTCATAGTTTAATAGAAATGGGATAAAATCCTCCTAATTGGGCATTGAGAAGAAAACCTTATTGTTTGTGGATTCCTAAAGGTAATACAAACGCATTGAGTTAAAAGGTTACCTTTTTTGACTGTCGCTTTGACATGTATTCTGATGTAGTACCAGATACGTAAGGCCTGTTAGTTTAGGCGTGAGTAGATTTCCTTTGACTGCCCTTTGTCTTTCAGGATCAAAGATGGGTGAATTGCTGACGCCCCCAGGACTAGATCCTCTTGTTTCCGCTGTTACAAGTCGTTCCCGGTGAGGCTGTGCGTTTGTCTCCTACGTAGCTTTTTCCTCTCTAGTTAGCTTTGCCTGCTGTCTAAACCATTGTTGTCGAAGATGGAGAAGTGTTGTTCTTTTATGTGAAGCTCCCTTCAGGGAGCATCTTAAAACTTGGTACCAAAAGGTGGAGTTATGCCGTTGTCCGGCTTTGCCGTGCTGCTGTTAAGGCCGTACCTCCAAAGGCAAGCTGTAGGAGATTATGGGTAGCCCTTCCTACAAAATAAGCATAGTAAGTCCGTGCTGTCTTAACGTTGTTTCAGGGTATCGCGTTCCCACAGCATTCTGCAGAGTGTTAGTCTGTATTTAGAAACAGGATTTTAACTGCAGTCAGGAGTTTGCAATTGATTGTGTGAAACTTGCGTGTTCGGCTGTTTGTTTTATGGTTCTGAAACTAGCATGTCGCTATTGTAAAGACACAGTATTTAGGCACAGGAGGTTATTAACACGTTATCTGATAACACTGCTTTGGATGTGCCAAAATTGCAGGTTGCAAGCCAAGACCTTTTATCACCCATTGCACGTATTAATGGCTTACTAAACCATACCCTGGAGTATCAGATTCAGTTTGTAGAAATGTAACAAATAGATGCCAAAATTTAGTTTTGCAACCGAAGCAGAGTGTGCAGTCGTGCCGAGAGCCGTTTCCACGGGGCATCCTGCAGAAAGGGTGAATTTCGCTTTCGGATGTGCAGGACCCCATGCCTACGTTGGCACGTCGGCGCGGGTGACTGTGGCGGAGCTGGAGCTCGGGGCTGGGACGGATGCAGGAATGGCAGCAGTCGGTGGTGCGTGCCTCCTCCCAGCTGTCAGGAATGCAGAAAGAGCAGAATAAGCCAGATTATCTGATCAAGGACTGTTGAAGTCCTTGTGTTTATGTGCTAATTTTAGTTTCTTCCGAGTAACAGAGTCGGTTCTTCTAATAACACTTATGGTATTGTAAGTGCATGTTGATTAGTGATTAGACTGCGGGTCCTGGCCTGCATAGTTTGCAGTCTCTACGTTGGAGAAGTGAAGCAGAGAGGAGGAAGGCTTAAAATGAACCAAACAGCTCAGACCAGATAGCAAAAAGTTGTCTCTACTGATGGTTAGAAATCTTGCCTTTTATGTATGTATTGGTAAAGGCTCTTGGTAAACATGCGATTGCATGTGTGCTGAATATTAACTTCCTCTCAACTGCCTTCCGCTCAACTGCTTTTCTGTTAAGGTGCTTCCCGAGGAAGCAGGCACGTCGGGCTGCTGCTTCCACAGTGGTTTTGGACGCTTCCGAACAGAACGTAACTGTCCTCCGCAGCACGTGCTGTCCGGAGCAGCCCCTCGGGGTCGCATTAAGCGGCATGCAGAAGGCTAGTCGCTTGTGAGTCCTCCTTTTCCTCTTGTTTTATCCTCCAGCTCCCGCAGTCCTTGTGGAGTTGGCTAAAGGTGTCACTGCGTAAAGACCTCGATCCCTCTTCTGAAGGTACCCGGGGGGATTTCTCCACTCTTGGAGCAGTGCCTTCCCCTAGCTCCTGGTGCAAGCTGTTTGTATGCATTGCCTTTTGCCAGACCCGCCGTGCTTTCCTGCGGGAGCGCCGGGGCCGTGCACCTGCTCGGCCACTCTGCGCACAGCCTTCGGGTGGTCTCCTGGGGTTAGTTCCAGGCTCTGCAGCTGCTCTTCCTGCACGCCAGGACCAGAGAGAAACACAACTTGGCCGCATTTACTCTCGTAACTGCATCCAAGCTGTTATGGGGCTGCTTTCTGCTTAGTCTCTGTTGACCTGTTGTAGTGGATGAACACAATTCTGCCCATATGGGGACAGTCTAGAACAAGAGAAGTGTCATTGCCTGGCATTGATCTCCTAAGTCTACATTAAACAAGACTATGACAGTTGCTGGAATCTTACCAATATTTTAAAGATGAATTCTTGTCATTGAATAGATATGGAGATCTCTTGGCTGTGTATGTAGGAAAATACAAGGAATGAGCAAATTTAAATCTCCATTTGTTCATCGATCTTCTGCGTTTGAAGTTAAACATCTCAAATAGGTTGGATACTTTAAAACTTTGTAGTGAGATATAAGGTAAAAGACTTTTGTGGAGAGAATTTTTATTAGACTGATACTATTCTTGAAGAAAACTAACTCTTGCAATGCTAGTCCTTTTTTTCCTCAAATTAGGACCACAGGGCTGCTACCACCACCAAAGGTGACACTCTAGGGTATCTTCTGAGTTGCTGTTCTGCCTGTTTTAAGGAAATTTAAAAAAAAAATTAATTCTAGCATTGAAAATTATGCCGAGGTGTGGCCCTTTTCAAGGATATGTTTGTCTCCTTTTATGGAAGGTTACAATTTGAGAAGGAAGTCGTGGTCTGTGAAATAGTACCTGAGTACTGGGGGCAGATTGCACTCACAGATTGAAACATTGACAGAAAAGGTGGAAGGCTCTGTGTTTTGCGGGGATTTTTCTGTCAAGCAGACATGTTTGAAGACTTGCAAGGCAGCTTATAAAGCTAAAAGTGGTCATTTAGCAAAGCTTATTAGCTTGCATCTTAAAGCTGTTCAGTCATTAAGTGCATTCAAGGAAATTGCACCATTGTTATTTTATTGTTATTTGCTAAATTTTGTCTGGAACGAATAGCAATCAGTTGCCAGCATTTCCATTCATATGGACTTCTGGTAACGTGGTCAAGTTTAGTACACGTGCAACATTAAGGGAGTCGTGATCCATCATGGGATGAAACAGTAGCCGAGGATGAAGAAGGTAATAAAGAAACAGAATTCCCTTTGCGGGTAACTGGAGGGAGTCCTGTGACGTGCATCTTCTCAGGGTGGAAGAAATAGAACTTCGGTTTAAATATATCCTTATTGTGCAGAGGACCACGTCAGACCAAAATTTCACTGCTTTCTCTTGCTAAAAACTTAATTTTTCTTCTCTGGGAATTGTTTCTGCATGTCAAGAATGCAAAAGCTTGGAGTGCCCGCCTTGCTACTTGAAGTCAATAGGAGGAACTATTAAATAATAAAAATAATTATCTTGGGGAAGCAAAGTGAAGGGCTTTCTGACAGATGTCATGTGAATGTACTATATAGTATTTACAAATGCACCTGCTCTGTGGTTAGTTTTCTCTAACCTGGCTGTAAGGAGAAAAAAAAAAAAGTACTTTGTTGGCTGAATTTTAGCTTTGTTTGCTTCGCTTTAGAAATAAGCGCTAAGAAAATGAGTATTTTGTTGTAAAGTTATTTTCAAGGCCATGTATTTTTTTTTTTTTAAGAGAATCGTGGAAGAAAAGCTGACAATTTAATGGTGCGTGATGCACTAATAAAAATGTCTGTGTGGTTGTGTTTAATCCTTTAAAGGAGAGAAAAGAAACACAGTAGTTATCAGCATTCAAAAGGCAAGACACAGGCTTAAATATATGCAAAGCCTTGGAGAGAAACTGAAGAAATGTACTGACTGTGTTGCAGGAAGCTTCTGACAGGCACATCACATCTTTGAAAGTAAGATTTGAATTATTAGAGCTGCCTTTGTTTATTAAATTGAGCCTCCAGTGAGAGGATTATATGAAGAAATACCATGCAGGCCCAAGTTGTGCTGGCATAAATTGTAATAGGTGATAAAACTAAATTTACTTTATTGAACTAATTCAGTAAGAAAATTCAAAGAGATTTTTAAAAAATCCAGGTGTGTAGTAGATACCTAAAGAAAGACTTCAAATGCCTAAATAAGCCTCTTTTTATGGAATCCGGTTTGCTTTGAGTGAAGGGTAATCCTTTTAAAACAAGATCACTTGAAGACGAACTCCAACAGAAGCGTTTTTGTTTAATTTTAAATTGGGAATGGAAGGGAAAG